GGGATGTTGTCTTTAACAAACCAAGAGCAACAATAGTTTCAGAACAAGAATGTAGACAGAAACTTAAGAAAATAAAAGTTGTACAAGTTGGATGAAGATGTTAGATGCTTGGGATATCTTATTGTCAAAGTTAGAAGATTTTTCAGTTCGAGGTATAAAGTTCTATACACCTTCTCCAAACTTCTATTCTATCTTCACTGGATATAAATACGAACAAGTAGAATGGAAAGAAAATATTATAGAAGCTTGGTTAGACCATGTCAAAGAAATTATATGCAATGGAAACGAAAGAGTCTATGAGTATATCTTATGTTGGTTTGCAAACATCTTACAACATCCAAGTGCTAAAAATGAAACTGCTCTCATTATAATTGGAAAACAAGGAACTGGTAAGAACACTTTCTTTACAGATATCTTTGCAAACTGTTAGAGGTATTCGAACCCTAATATGACAAACTTAGAAAACATCTGTGGTAAATTTAACTCCTCAATAGAGAATATGAAACTTATAGTTTGCAATGAACTTCAAAGTATAGATACAACAAAAGTTTTGAAACTCAGATGCTTTGAAGAGTCTTATAACAGACAAAGTTGGAGTTGTTGAAAGAAAATATAAAGACCAAAGAGTTTGTGAAAATGTTGCAAACTTCATTATGGTTTCAAACAAGCCGTTCCGATGAAGTTAGAAAGTTCTGACAGAAGATATGTAGTTGTCAGAACGTCAGATTCTCATATGCAAGATACAGAATATTTTGACGACTTAGCAGAAACTTTGACATCTGACTTTTACAACCACTTGTTCTCATATTTCATGACATTAGATATTTCTAAGTTCAATCCAAGACAAATTCCACATACCGAAGAGAGACAAACATTGTTAGAAGCAAACAAGAGTGTATATGAACTGTTTATAGATGAGACTAACTTTGAGTGTTTAGATGAAAGGTCATTGTACGATGATATAAACAATATTGTCAAGAATATGGTTATATGGCAGCGTCTAAACGAACATTCTTGGCAAATGTCAAAAGTCTTTTAGATACAGAACGGCGTATATACAAAGAAAAATTTTTCTGAGTAAATTTAAAAAAAATATTTTTTTATCCGATAGAAAAGATGACGAAATATATTCAGTCAACAAGTACATGTCAGGACTTAAAGAAGAACTAGACCCATTCGCTTATTTGAATGTTTACTTCTACCATTTTGAAAAGTCTACATTTGACAAAGTTTGGAACATCGAACCAGTTAAGTTTGCTATTGTGACTAAAAATGGTGCGAAATTTGAAGACTTAGACATAGAAGGTTTGTTAGCAGTCAAAGAAAATTTTGACAGAAGGTTCTCAAACCTTAAAGAAGGCAAAGCATACAAACTTGTTATACCTTATGAACCAAAGAAAGCAGACGACTATGAATATTATGAGTCTAAGATAGTTGAAGTTCAAGGTAAATTGGGTAAAAAGATTTTAGAGTCTAAGCCAGTGTTTGCTCCTAAAGAGGAAGAGAACATTGACATTGACCCAGAAATGTTCTAAAAATAAAATTTTATTTTTACATGTCAAATTTCTTTTTCTCTGGAACTCTGGTTGGTTCTCTTTCTTCTTTTCTACTTTCTTTTCTTTCTTTTCTCTCTTCTTCTTCTTTTCTGGTGGAGTTATGTCAAATTTCTCAGAACCATATTTATGTAAAAGTTCTTTGTCCTTTAATAGCTCTTCTATTCTGTTTTCTATTTCATCTTCAAGAACAGCGCATGTGTCTTCTTTGCATTCTAAGAACTTTTGTTGGACTTCATCTTTCCAATCGGCGTCATCTCTGTCAACAAGTCTGTCATTGACAAATTTTAAGACTGCTCTGTAATGTTTTATGGTTCTTGTCATATTCCCAGAAACAGAACTTTAGAACAAATTCACCTTTCTTGTTTACACTATGTAAGATTTTATGGTCGACAGATGTTTTGCTGTCAAAAAGCTTGTCTCGAATATAGATAGCGAAATCGCTAGACATTTTCTAAAAGATAAAAATTTTAATTTTTCTAAAAATATGTTAGAAAAAAAGTTTGCTGACATTGACAAGAAATTTGAGAATGTTTTAAACAAGAACAAGAGGAAGTTAGAAAATGCTCAGATAAACCTATACATGACAAGTTCTTATTTGCTCAGAATGGTATAACAGGTCTAATTGCACCACCTGGGTCGGGTAAGACTTTCACTTATCTTAAAATGGCTGCACAACAACAAGAACTAGATGAGAAGAACCCATTCTATGAGTTAGTTGTTATTTGTAGTACTTCTGGTCAATTTGACCAAACCGTCAATTCGTTCAAAGATATTATAAAGAAGTCTAAGTTAGTATGTATAAAGGATACTGAGTTGTTAGATTGGATAAAGAAGTACCAAAGAAGAGTTTTGAAGTACAATGCTATAAATGAGTATGTCAATTCTAAGTTTAAAGACCCAAATGAGGAAATGCAGAGAATATTAGAGAAGAAACACTTCAGAAACAAACAGAAAGAGATAGAATACATTTCGAAGAAATTGCAATCTTACGATTGGAAGACTACCCTCATAGATGTCTTCTTATCTTAGATGACTTTGCTTCTCATCCTTTGTTAAAGAACAGAGAACAAGATATGTGTCGAATTCTTAAGAAGCTCAGACACTTTAACATCTCAGTTGTCATTTGTGTACAGACAGCAAAGAGTTTAAGTAAAGATGTTAAAAGAATACTTACTGACATTATACTTTTCCCTGGATTGTCCGAAGACGATTTCATGGAACTTATGAAAGAGTCCATGGCAGGTAAGTTTGACAGACATGAACTATGGGAGAAGTACAAAGTCATACAAGACCCTCATACTTCTTTCAGAATTCATATCTACGCAAACAAAGTTCAAATTGTAAAAAGTCAAGCTTGAAAAATAAATGGTTCATTTACTCTGCTTGTTTGAAGTTGTCAAAATACTCTGTTATTTTTCACGATTTTCATACGGAATTCAATAAAAATAATGTTTAGGGTAGATGGGTATATCTAACCTCTTTTCTAACCTCTTTTCTACCCCAGTTATTTTATAACCGTTTCACATGGTAAACGTTATTTTTAAAATTTTGTGAAAACTCAACGGTTTGACACATGCCCTAAAAATTATTTTACTCATGAATTTTCATACGGAATTCAGCAAAAATATATTTTAGGGTAGAAGGTTAGATATACCCTCTTTTCTACCCTCTTTTCTACCCCAGTTATTTTATAACCGTTTCACATGGTAAACATTGTGAATTCGTGAAATTCTAAACAATTTCGTAGCTTCTATTTCTTCTGTCAGTACATCGAATGTTTTAACGATACCGAAAGTTTCTTTATATTTCTTCTTGACATCTGAAAGAAGGAAATCGTCAGCTGTTGGATAGTTTTTGTTTAGAAATGTCAACATGTCCATTTTATCTTCTGCTGGTTTCTCTGCCTCCCTCTTTAAGTCAGCATAGTCGTTTCGCATACGTTCTATCTCTTTGACGGAGTAGTTATATTTCCTCATTGCTGCTTTACATTTAGAACATTGCGGGTTCATTTTTGCGTTATATTCTGAAACCTTACCTGCTAGTATGACTAAGGCGTCAATTGCTCTCTTTAACTCAAAAGTTGCGGGTTTTATCTGTTCATTCCATATCTTACCTCTTCTATCTTTATCTCTTATCTGCCATACACATTCAGCAACTAACGAAACAAAGTTGTCGTAGGTCTTAAACTCCCCAGATTTGTATATGTCAGAGATGTTCTTATATACCATATCGCAATCTTTGTCCATGACTTTGTGGTTGCAATGAAATCCAAGAAACTCATAGTTAACCTTTCGTATGAACTTCTTTATTTCTACTGAGTCAGTTGCTTTGACTTCTATTTCATCGAATTCTGGAATAGTAAGCTTTTGTTGCTGGATTTCAGGCAATTTGGGTAAATGGTCGATGAGGTCCTGCATGTCATAAAGATACTGTTCATTTGTTTCATCTTTCGCACAACAGTCCAAAGTACTTGTTAAAAGTTCTTGCTTTATCTTCTGGATTTTTGTTTCGAAAGTATATGAAGAAGGAATGAAGCTTTTCATCTCTACTAACATTGAAGTTGGGTTCATGACTAACGAGTTTGGTGCTGTTGTTGCTAACATGTTCTTACAATAAAAATAAAAAAATATTTTTTTAAAAAAACCAACTTTATTTTTTATTTCGGGAAAACTCATGACAAATTCAAGAGGGTAGAAAAGAGGTTAGAAAAGAGGTTATATCTAACCTTCTACCCTAAAATATATTTTTGCTGAATTCATGAGTTTTGGTTGAAAGAATACGGTGGAGCCAAAAGTGGCTCGACCTCAAAACAAGCATTTTCTGTATAAAATTCATGAAAATTCAAGAGGGTAGAAAAGAGGTTAGAAAAGAGGTTATATCTAACCTTCTACCCTAAAATATATTTTTGCTGAATTCAGCAACAAAATTCAAATTGTAAACGGTTTAATAGAAAAAGTGTTATTTTTTCATGTCCGAAGACTCGAAGGTGCAACACTTCCAAAATACCGACGAACTCAGAAGAGCAGCATGGCAGTATGTTCTTGACAACTTCTTTGAGTTCTCCAGGCACACCTTGGAAAATGCTGAAGAACTCCGACACAGAGAATTTGGAGAAATTGCACTCCAATACTACATTGACAAACAAAGGGTAAACAAAGGGTAAACAAAGGGTAAAATAAGACTAAAAACTTAACGTTTAAAAAGTGACATTTTTAATGAGCTCCGAGTCACCGAGAAAACTTGGTCAGATGTTAGCAGCTTACTTCCCTGAGGAGGATGGAAGCGTTACATACGTAAGGTTCAAAAACAACGAACCTGGAATTGCGTACCAAATTCGCAATTACATGACCATGGAAGAGTACGAAAGGTTTCTACAAGAGAAACCAGCTCTAAACAACTCAGAAAAGAAAGAGTAAAAAGTTTAACTCGTAATTGTTTATTTTTTTACTTGTATGGGCAAGCTGCAAGAATGAAGTCGACTATCTCAGTCTTTGTCTTGACCAGTTGGACTGCTCTTGCGAGTACGTCTGTTTTGCGGTCTCCAGCTGGTGTCTGACCTTCGTAATTGCGCATGTTCTTGAGAGCTCCAACTGTAAATGGTTGTAGGATGAAGAGTCTCTCAGACTGCTTGAGGTAGTCGTCTCTGTCTTTGACCGAATCTGTGGTACGAGTCGAATCGGTCGACCTTAGGGAAGAGACTGAAAGCCTGTCATCTTCCATAGGGGCTGTGGCATACTCTTTGCGTAAACGGTTCAGACCTTCTTCGAACTCTTGGTCTCTCTTCGATTGGGATTGAGATTGGAATTGGGGTGGAGGGTTTGACATGAACATCCAAGGGTTGGGGAAGTAAGGCATGGCTGAGGAGGGTAGTTCGGGAAGCCTTGTAGTGGAAATTGGTAGTAACCTTGAGGTGGAAATTGGTAGTAATTCGGAGGTCCTTGTTGGAACTGAGGTTGCTGTGGGTAGCCTTGTGGAGGTGGAACCTGTTGTGGTGCTGGAGCATGCTGTTCTTCTGGCTGTGGAACGGGTTCAGTAGGTGGGACGTCGGACATTCGTTTGTGTCTTAACCGTCTTTGTTCTGAAACAATATAATATTGTCTTGAAAAAGTACAACATTGTCTTGAATAAGTACAATATTGTCTTGAAAAAGTACAACATTGTCTTGAAAAAGTACAACATTGTCTTGAAAAAGTACAACATTGTTCTGAAAAAGTTCAACATTGTCTTGAAAAAGTACAACATTGTTCTGAAAAAGTACAACATTGTTCTGAAAAAGTTCAAGACTTGTTCTGAAAAAGTACAGCTGTACTCAAATTTGAGAGACATTGTTCTGAAAAAGTACAACATTGTTCTGAAAAAGTTCAACATTGTCTTGAAAAAGTACAACATTGTCTTGAAAAAGTACAACATTGTCTTGAAAAAGTACAACATTGTCTTGAAAAAGTACAACATTGTCTTGAAAAAGTACAATATTGTACTGACTCAGTATGGAGCTTGACCCCTTAGACGAAGCAATTTATCTAATTGAGGTAAATGAAACCGTGAAGGAATATCTCAGCAAGTGCAAACCAAGCAAGTCCATTGGCTTCTGGTTGTCCAAGAATAGTGTCTTAAAGTTGGAAATTGAAACAGGTGTTGCAATTCAAGTTCCAGAAGGCACTGCATTCGATGATATTAAGGATGTGAAGAAAGAAGCCCTCTTGAAGTTCTTCATGAAACGTCCTTGGATACTACTTCCATATCGTGAGAGCCCAATTCCACGAATTACACAAATTCTCAGAGCACTACTTCACTACTCTGGACAGCCGTTCTTCATAACCTCAGAAGGCGACATCCAACCAATTCAGTAAACATCTCATTTTAACTTCACTTTTTTATGTTTTTACTCACACTCGTACTCAACAGGTTTGTGTACAACTATTTCAACTGTGAACCTTGTATTGACCGGTCTTCCTGCAAATGCAAGTTCGGTCAATACACAATTTATGGTGGCAAGAAAGACAGTGGGGAATGTTATTCTGACATCTGTGGTTGCGCTCGAGAGAGAATTGAAATTCCAGACCCAACTCCAACAAGAACTCTCAAGTTGCCGAAGACTCATGTGAAGAAGAAGCCTTCTGGTAAGTTTCTTATAGCCATCTATATGGCACGCTTTGAGTAAAAACATTTTTTTTCTTTTTTGAATGAAGCAAGTTAAATTCGTCCCACACCAAACTCAATGGACCGATGAAGAGTTTCAAGCTATGGTTGAAGGTGTTGAGAACGACATAGACGGCGAACTTGAAGGAGCTCAAACCACAATTGCAACCAAAATTGCACAAGTCAAGGAACAGATAGCTCCACTTAAAGCTACCAAAGCTACTCTTGACCTCATGGATAGTTACCGTTTAGAAGTAAAGAGTGGAATAAGACAATTAAAATTAAAACTTCTAAACTACGAAGCTATACTCCAAAAGTTAGCAGAAATGAGAAGACTTTACCAGAGCTACTTACATGTAAGGGACTTACCTTCAAGCAGTCCGACCAAAGATGAATTTTCTGACATTGTCCCAATTTTGTCCGAAAGTCAGCTCAGATGTTTCGAACTGCTCCCAACATATCCAGAATATGAACGTTTGCCTGAACTCTTCCGCAATCTCAAAAAACGTTTTTTGGTTCTCATGTTCGAAACTTTTATCGGAAGAGACAACAAACGTTCAGAAGAAGAACAAGATATTATTTTAAACTTGTTGTATGACTTAACCGTCATAACAAGCTTTTTGAAGTAAAACCGTCATTCTCAAACCACTTCATTTTTTCGATGTCCGAACAAGCACCGAAGCCGAACACAATGGCAGATGTCCTTTCAATGTTGCCAGACAAGCGCCCAGTTCAAATTCAAATTTTGAATTTGAAAGCTCATCTGACAAACACCGTTAAGACTCTCCAAAGTAGTCTTATGGAAGAGATGAAGGGACTTAAAGGTGAGTTCCTCATGAACCAAGCTTCCAATGAGAAAGTCCTGAACGATTTGACGGAAACCTTGCGCATTTACGCGAGAGAGAACCGAGACCTTGCCAGACTCATCTACCGTTTCTTCGAAGAGATAGACGCCATCTGGAAGGTACTCGGAAAGGACAGAACCTCCAACACCGTAATTCGTGAACACAGAATTGCCGAAGGTATTATCAAAGAAGAGGAAGAAGAGGAAGAAGAGGAAGAAGAGGAAGAAGAGAAACACGAAGAAGAGGAAGTTTGGGCAACCCTTGTTGCCGATGACGCTTACGAAATTTCCCAACCCTACCCATACCAAATCCGCAACAAGGAGACAGGCAAGGTTCTTACCCCAGTCCTCAACAACTTGGGACACTTGAACCTTAACCTTCGGAATCGCGGTTCAATCTCCATGGGCAAGCTTGTCGCAATTCAATGGGTTCCAAATCCAGACAAGAAGACGAGGGTCAGACACATTGACGGTGACAAGCTCAACAACCGTAAGGAGAACCTCGAGTGGTTCTAAGAGTAAAAAAAATTTTTTATTTTAGGGGGAAACCCCGAGTAAATTTAGGTGTTTATTTAGTTAAGTATGTTAAATTAATGAGAATTTGGACAAGTAGTTCCTGACCCCTGAATTGGACTCTTTCGTCATCCCAGTTGCGTAGGAGGTCGTCCCAGAGGAGTTGGTAGAATTGCCAATCCAAGGACGATTTGTCCTCCCAGGCATTGAGGATGTACTGCTCGTAGAGTCTCATGACCTCTCCCTTGCACCAGACACCCTCTCCCTTGGAACGTAAGGCTTCTTCGAAGTGCTCGAATGCGATTGGCTGCGTGACCATCCGAAATGACACTTTTTGTCCGTTTGGTCAATGTTCGTGTCTCGTGCCATAGTCGACGAAAATACAGACAAACAGGTTATATATGAGTTTGAGACCAAGAATGGTGTAACTCGACCTGTCCGATTCAAATTCGAATAAAAATTTTTTACTTCATGCAATGTTTTATTTCTGTGCCGTCTTCAAGTATGCCCCAGTACTTACGCTTGGAGAGGACATGAACTTCGGTGAAAATTTTGTCCAATTTGAATTGACCCATCTTTTCACCGACCATTCCCATTTCAATGAGTTTGTTATAGCCTTCTTCGTTCGTCATGAGTGCGTCAATGTTCTCATAGTAAACCACAACTTTCGATTTGACTTCGGAGAAGAATTTGTTGTAGTTGTCAAGGACTGCCTTTGCGAACTGAGGATAGGACCAATGTTCGACAATAGGTTTTAATGTGGTTACTAAGCCATTTTGACCTTCGGTGAACTCGTATTTCAAAACAAAAGGGGAGAACCTTTCAACAAAGTTGTCGACCTTCTCATAATGTTTACTCTTCATCTCTTGAGGTTTCTTAATGGAATATCCCCATGTCGAATTCATAAGCAATTTGAGTGTCATTGCAAGTTTGGGGTTTGAAGCTTTCCTAATATCATACAGTTGTTGTATGACTTTTCCAACTGTATAGTTCCTTCCTGGGAACTCACCATCTTCGTTTGGAATTCCAGTTGGAATATATTGGACGAACCTCATGTACGCAGCGTTAAGGTCGACATAGTATATCTTTTCATCTGAGTCGAACTTGTCGCAACCAATCGGTCCAGTTTGTGGAAATTCAAGCGAGTCTCTTATCTTCTGAGAAACTTCTCCTGTTATCTCATAAACATCGTCGAAGCAACCTGTTTCATATAAAACCTTCTGACCTAACTCAGATGCTCTCCAATACAATTTGACGTCAATTGGATGTCTCAATGGAAGTTTGTTTATAGCATCTTGAAGTTCTTGCAACCTCATTGGAAGTTCTTCTGGTTCAGGTTGGTATCCGAACAATCCAACTCCTTTTGGAACTGTGTACTTCTTTTGTGCTAGAACTTTGTCTGGAACAACTTTTGGTCTTGCTAACAATGAAAAGTTTGTTTCGTCTTTTGGTACAAAAGTTTCTGTCAGTTTGTCATCTGGAATTGGTTCCAACAAACCTTTCTCGAAAAGAATGTTTACAGCTCTGACAATGTTGCACTTACTTTTACCAAAGAATGGGTTTGTAAGACTTTCGTTCAACATGAAGTGGTTGTGGACAATTGCAATCTTCAACCATGGTAAGTCTTTGTCAACAACATAGTCGTCATGTGAAGAACCTTTAGCTGTAGGTATGTTAACTCGGATATTGACATTTGCCAACGGTGCAATTTTTGCCAATTGACCTCTGAGAATGTACCTTGTCTTCACACATGACTCAAGATACTTCATCTTCTCATCTGTAACAAGACCAGAGTTCCTGAGACATGTAAGAATACAAGGTTCATTGACAATTTTTTCAATTGAATTGTAAATTCCATACCTTGTCAAGTCAATGTCAGACTTATTTATGAACGGGAAGTATCCAGCATGTTGTCTGACTGCTTGAGGGTTAGGTTGGTACCATTCAAATTTTACACTTGCAATTCCTTCAATTGCATTCAAAATGTCTGAGTCGGAGTCAACCATTTGTTCTCTCTTTGTAGTCTTGAAAGCGTCAAGAAGCATTGCAGCTGTTGTGACATTGCCATGTGCATAGTAAATGTGACCATCCAAATCTGTTATGGTCAATCTGAGATTGTATCCTTTCTTATTTCCGTCTTGAATTGCAGCAAGTACTCCCATGAAGCCTTCTTTGTTCTTTCCTTCGTCAAAGTTTACTGTAAAGGTTCGACCAGATGTAATTTGACTTCTAACTTCACGGTACTTTTCATATGCATATCTTGTTCTTTCCATGGGAGCATGTTTGTCTTCACCTTTTCCTTTTTTCCTTCTCAAAGGATACAATTGTTCGTCATGTTTCCAATAGAATCTGGCAAAGCCGTCGTGTCCTTCAACTTGCGGTTCAGAAACATCGAAAGGCATGTCCATAAGACGTTCTTCTTCTAACCTCTCTAGTCTGTTTGGATAATTTGCGCGTGCTGTTTCCAAATCCATTTCGTAGCGAAGACCAGACAATTTGTCATAGACTTTTATGGGTCTTCCCTTCCTATATTTAAACTTCTTTGAAACTCTCCAACCATATCTTTCTAACTCTGCTTTTATTCTAGCAGACCTTCTATCCATTCTATACGGGGGCATTTTTATAAAAATAAAAAAATGTTTTTTCTTTACTTTACATAACCGCCTGCTGCCAAAGTCTTTGACGCCAACCCATACCAGCTAATGAAGGTTGACTTGGTTTAGTTTGGAAACTAACCTTTGGTTTTGGTTTTCTTCAGTTTTGTGGCTTCCCTTCTTCTATCGGTTTTTCGTCACTTTTCGGTTCCTCTGACTTTACCTCACTTGCAGGTATGGTTGTGTCGTCAACATCTTCATAAATATCATATGCCATTTGTTTTTGTTTTCCTTTCAACTTTTTGTGTTTGTTGTAAAGTTTAGAATATTTCGACTCTAAGTCAATGAGATGTTCTATAATGAACTGTTGGTCAGTGAAGTAAACTTTTCCATCTGTTGTCTCGAAAGCTCCTTCAGACTTCAATATTTTATTTGTGAGAGTCTGTTTCTTTTTTGAGATACTAGCCGTTCCATTTCTATGAAAAGTGACTTTGTAGTTAGGGTTTGTATTTCCAGACCTGGCACTTTCTATTATTGAATTTTTCTCTTCATCTGTAAGTTCTTTGACAGGTTTTGACAATGGTTCTGAACTTTTTGTTTGTGGTGTCAAATCTACCGTTTCAACTTCTTCGGTCATTTCATCTCAGTAAAAAATTTTAGTTTGGTTTGTTTTCAACTGGTTGTTTAGGTTTTTTAAGTCGGTCTAAAACTTCCTGAGGTATAGGAAGAACTTGACAAACACGTTGTGTAACTGCTGGAAGTCGACAAATCCATCTTGAACCCATTTGTCTCAATGCTGTATTGTTCATTTCATCTCAGTAAAAAATTTTACATTCCCCACGTTTGAGGCGGTTGCGGTTGGTTATTGTTTACCCATTGTTGTGCATGGTTATATCCTCTGTTAAAGAATCTTTCACCTTGGTCCATATAGTGTCCTGCTTGGTTATAGTAGTCATTTGCTTTGTTATAATAGTTTCCTGCTTGTCTTCCTACATTGTCCATCCATCCTTGAACTTTTCCTCTTGTTTCAGGATTTGGAATAAGATTTGCTGCATCTCGTGCTACATCCCAACCTTTCTGTACAGTTTGTATAATAGGTTGTGCTTTCTCTTTAAGTATACCTAATGTACTCAAAATCTTCCTTCCAACTCCAAATACACCTCTGGCTATTGTTCCACTGCGGGCAAAAATCTGGATGCAACTCCTGCTAATGCGCCAAATAAACCCATTTCTTATAGGGTAAAAAATGACGAATCCAAACAAGGACCCCTATGTTTCTAAGGCAACAAAGAAAGCACTCATGATAAAAATCTTTAGTTCAACACCAAATGCTTGGTTTATGGATATCTTGGAAAACATTCCGAGGTATAGAGAAGATGGACCACCATACTGGCTAATATTTTTGGTCAAAACACAAGATACTGTGAAGCCATACCATTACAGTCCAAAAATATTTTAGATGTGAAAACTGCTTTGACAATATTCGTTGACAAATACCATCCAACAAAACTGACATCTGACTGTGAAAGTTCTTTCAAATCAGACGATATTAAAAACTATCTGCGTTCAAAAAATGTAAACCAATATTTCATTGTCGACCAAAACCATTCTGCTCTTGGTGTCATTGACAGTTGTATAAAAATCTTAAGAGACTTAAACCAACCAAAGGTGGTGAGGTAGATGAAATGTCATATGACGACAAATATAGACATTTCTCCATGGCAAAGATGAGACAAGTTTTAAATATTTACAATAGCCGTAAACAAAAAGGTTTGGGAAACCACTCCCCGAAGAAATGAAAAACAACCCCGACTTAGAGAAAGACTATATATTTAATAGTTTAGTCAAAAGAGACAAACAAGAAAGAATGCCAGGCTTCAAACTTAAGAAAGGTGACAAAGTAAAAATAGAAATACCTAAACGCGACCCATATGAAAATACTATTGACTATGACAACAATGGGAACTCGACAGGTACTCGCATTCGTGTTCGTAAAAATAGAAGAAAGTATACAAGAGAATATTATGAAGTTTTAGGCAAACATGGCAAAATGTACAGACTGCAAGCAGAAGATAAAACTACTATTGTCAGACCTCGTTTCAAACTTGTTAAGTTCAAGGTGGTATACTTTCAAAGACAGTTCCTAACAAATATAAGACAACTCCTGACGAATATGCTAAAGAAGTTGAAAATGACGACTAAGCATTTCTATACCATGCGTAAACTGTCATGTAAGGTGGCATGTAGTCTTTACTCTGTCCCGTTGTTTCCGAATATCCTGTAATGCGATGTGTATGGCTTCCTCCTCCTGAGTGTCATCCCAGTAACAATTTATAGCAAACTTAACGTCGTCTTTAACATCATATCCTTTACCTTTTGTCATTCCTGTCCAATCCCAATATCTATGCTTATGCCAACCTGCTTCAGCTGTATTAAATTTATGTAGTGACTGTGTGCAGGTAGGTTTTCACCTGAAATCGTTTTACTTCCACCTGTTTCCTTTGAAGAGTTTGCACAATACAAAAACCTGTCGACTATTTGAGTCCAAGTTCCAAAACCAAGTACTACTTCTGGTCTGGTAGAGTTCATTGACGTATAAATAGAACCTATAGGATATAGTGTTTGAAGTATTTCTGTCTTTAATGTTTGAAGCTCTGTTTTGTCAGCTTTTTTATATAACTTTTCTTCAAGTTCATTTACGTCAGAGATGCTATGTCTATGATATTTTTGTGGGTATGTTCCTTCTGTCCATGCGAAAATACGTTCTTTTGTTGCATCTACATATCCTTTTATCCATGTCGAGTCTGTTTGTATTCCTTAACTCTGTAACACCTTTCTCAAGCTCTTTCAACTGTTGTCCATCTTCCATTAAACCTCTGGTATGACTTGAAACCGTTTGTTCAACATATCTACAGTTTCTTTGTCGGCTTTAAGGTCTAAACATCCTGAAACCCCCTGTATTCGCTTTGTTTTCTAAAATCTTCGATGTCCGTTCATGGTACCAGTCAACCCTTTTTATAATTTCATTGTCTTTTTCATCCACATATTCCTTATCTGCCTTCTTCACTAACCCACTAGCCAGATATGCTAACTCATCGTCAACATATCTTTGTCAGCTTTCTTTTCAACATCCTCTTTTGTTGCATATGTTGCATCTGCTCTGTCATGTTCTTCTTGAACTTTTTCAATGACATATTCTTGTCAGCTTTGTTGTCAATATCTGCTTTTCAAAAGAAGTTCATCTATAGGTTTCTCGTTTAAAGTTCTTTTTGTTGGATTTATACAAACAGTATGGTTCTTGTTGTCTTGAAACAGAAACTCATCTGTCATTGGGTTTAATGTCAGTTTTAAGTTTCCTTCTTTCAATGACTCAGATATCTTAGAATAGTTTGAAAAGTTTGTTGTGTTCTTATTTAGAGCTTGCATAATGAGTTGTCGGTTGTGTTGTATTTCTCTCATAGACGCTGTTTCATTTGACATTTTTATTCTAGATAAAATATGCTTCCAATAGAAAAAGAAAATTCAAGAGTTGCTACAACTAAACCATTAGATGAACTTTTTACTAATGTCGGTCAAAAGTTTGAGACAGAGACCGTAAAGCATGAAGGCTATCGTTTTGACTACCCATTAAGATGGCTAAGAGACCCATCTGTCACAAAAGCTATTGGCTTTCGTAGAATGAAGTTTGTGTCTGTAGAAGATAAAAGTTTTCCATTTATTGTAAGGTTTCATATAGATTATATATCTGAAGGGAAACGAAAAATGTGGGAAGAAATTGAGCTAATACAAGTTGACCTTTCATCTTCTCTACAGACTGCGTTAAAAAATATAGAAGATAAAATAAATTCATGTTATGCAAAATATGCTGATGAATATGCAAATACCGAGAGCACACTTTATGTGAGAATTGTATATGACAAACAAAATTCACAAGTGTCATTTCAAATCTACGAAGACAATCCAAAGAAAGACGAACAAATATATACAGAATTCACTGCAATGTCATGGTATTATTTGCAAAGAATGTTAAATCAGAAAGTCGAACTTCCTTTAGCAAATATTTACAGTCGATATGCAAGAGATGAACCATATTTATTTAAAGATGTTTTCGACCCAGCTGCTATTATTGTTCATGCTTCATTTTCTGGCGCTCCAAAACTCTTTCTTATGCTTGGCAAATGACTTTTACGAAAAACCTACAAAGTTATACGAACCACCAAGTGGAAGTATTTCAGACTTTCAAGTATGGTTTACTACAGATGGAAGAAAAAGAATAATTCCATTATACCATGCGTTTTACTTAGAACTTAGTTTCATATACAACTACTATCGAACGGTAAAAATATAATTTTTTAATACGGTTGAGGTGTTGGATTTGGTTGCCAACTAGACTGTGGTGCAGGTTCAGGCTGTTGTATAACAGGAGCTTGTTCTTCTGGTTCAGGGTCTTTAGGTATAATACCAACAACTGACCTACTCTTTTACCAATATTTTTGACTCCGTTCCAAATTCCTCTTCCTACGGTTTTTATTCCATTCCTAACTCTGTAACACCTTTCTCAAGCTCTTTCAACTGTTGTCCATCTTCCATTAAACCTCTGGTATGACTTGAAACCGTTTGTGTCAACATATCTACAGTTTCTTTGTCGGCTTTAAGGTCTAAACATCCTGAAACCCATCCTGTATCGGCTTTAGTTTTTAAAATCTTCGATGTCCGTTCATGGTACCAGTCAACCCTTTTTATAATTTCATTGTCTTTTTCATCCACATATTCCTTATCTGCCTTCTTCACTAACCCACTAGCCAGATATGCTAACTCATCGTCAACATACTCTTTGTCAGCTTTCTTTTCAACATCCTCTTTTGTTGCATATGTTGCATCTGCTCTGTCATGTTCTTCTTGAACTTTTTCAATGACATATTCTTTGTCAGCTTTGTTGTCAATATCTGCTTTCAAAAGAAGTTCATCTATAGGTTTCTCGTTTAAAGTTCTTTTTGTTGGATTTATACAAACAGTATGGTTCTTGTTGTCTTGAAATAGAAACTCATCTGTCATTGGGTTTAATGTCAGTTTTAAGTTTCCTTCTTTCAATGACTCAGATATCTTAGAATAGTTTGAAAAGTTTGTTGTGTTCTTATTTAGAGCTTGCATAATGAGTTGTCGGTTGTGTTGTATTTCTCTCATAGACGCTGTTTCATTTGACATTTTTATTCTAGATAAAATATGCTTCCAATAGAAAAAGAAAATTCAAGAGTTGCTACAACTAAACCATTAGATGAACTTTTTACTAATGTCGGTCAAAAGTTTGAGACAGAGACCGTAAAGCATGAAGGCTATCGTTTTGACTACCCATTAAGATGGCTAAGAGACCCATCTGTCACAAAAGCTATTGGCTTTCGTAGAATGAAGTTTGTGTCTGTAGAAGATAAAAGTTTTCCATTTATTGTAAGGTTTCATATAGATTATATATCTGAAGGGAAACGAAAAATGTGGAAGAAATTGAGCTAATACAAGTTGACCTTTCATCTTCTCTACAGACTGCGTTAAAAAATATAGAAGATAAAATAAATTCATGTTATGCAAAATATGCTGATGAATATGCAAATACCGAGAGCACACTTTATGTGAGAATTGTATATGACAAACAAAATTCACAAGTGTCATTTCAAATCTACGAAGACAATCCAAAGAAAGACGAACAAATATATACAGAATTCACTGCAATGTCATGGTATTATTTGCAAAGAATGTTAAATCAGAAAGTCGAACTTCCTTTAGCAAATATTTACAGTCGATATGCAAGAGATGAACCATATTTATTTAAAGATGTTTTCGACCCAGCTGCTATTATTGTTCATGCTTCATTTTCTGCGCTCAAAACTCTTTCTTATGCTTGGCAAATGACTTTTACGAAAAACCTACAAAGTTATATGAACCACCAAGTGGAAGTATTTCAGACTTTCAAGTATGGTTTACTACAGATGGAAGAAAAAGAATATTCCATTATACCATGCGTTTTACTTAGAACTTAGTTTCATATACAACTACTATCGAACGGTAAAAATATAATTTTTTAATACGGTTGAGGTGTTGGATTTGGTTGCCAACTAGACTGTGGTGCAGGTTCAGGCTGTTGTATAACAGGAGCTTGTTCTTCTGGTTCAGGGTCTTTAGGTATAATACCAACAACTGACCTACTCTTTTACCAATATTTTTGACTCCGTTCCAAATTCCTCTTCCTACGGTTTTTATTCCATTCCATATACCTCTTCCAACATTTCGAAAGAAGTTTCCAATACTACTGAAGAAACCCATTTACTATATGTAAAAATCTAATGTCCGCCTAGTCTCTTACGTTTCCTGTTGAGTTCCATAGCATTCTTTAACTGGAGCTCATACATTCTGTTTCTCCTCTGGTAGAAAACATATTCTGGGTCAACTCCTGTGTTCGCGTCATCTGCATAGAGTTGTTTATATCCCACTTCGGGGTTTGTATAAAACTCTTTCCATCTCATATTTGCATACCATGGTGGTAAGCCTAACGCAGCGTCATTTGACATGGCAGTTTGCATTTGTACATCTGTTGGCACTTGACCATAGTTTGCCATTGCAGTTTGTATTCTAACTTCATTTGGAATATTCTCTGGGTTTGGTTGTCCAGGTTGCTGTGCATTCGCTAAGTTCTGTGCGTCCATTAATATTAGATAAAAATATCTCTTACGAGTACATATGCTGAACATTTGCTGGTATTGGTTCATCTTCATATTCTCTATATCTTTCTGCCACGTCAAATAAGTAAATGACACAATGGAAAAAACCTAAAACAAGTAGTCCTATTTCAAACCACATTTACTTACTAGTAAAATTTCTTTGTTATGACACTTTCTCCAGTTTATAGGACCTCTCTCATATTCTATCTTATCGTATCTAAACTCATAGTCATGTATGTCCTCTAACCATCTCATGACACTTTCCAAACCACTTTTATCGGATGTAAAGTAAAAGCATGGATGGTTATGTAAAACGTCTAAAGTTTCTAAAGAGTCTCTCAAAGTCCAGTCTACTTGGTATTGAAAATCCCATGTGTTATAGAACGGCGGGTCCACTATAAAGAAAACATTTTCCTTGTCTTTATATTTTTCATACAACTCTGTCCAATGACATCTCACAAACTCTATACCCTCAATATATTTTTCTATGTTCTCTTTGAAAACATTTGTATAGTTAAGATATAAAACTTTTGACATAAGTGTTTCAATGTCATGAACTCTTATAGCACCACTATATAATAGTCTAGCAGATATACTATCCCAGTCAATATACTCTGCCTTTTTCAAAACCTCTCTGACAGTATTTTTCTTATCTAATGGTATACGTTCCATCTTACCTATAGGTATCTTTTCTTTTAACTCTTTCAATATTTTGTTTGTGTCTGGTATATGTTTGAGACGGTTCATATAGTTGTCGAAGTCATTGCATATAATCTTTGAGTCAGGAAATACGGTATGACATAAATGAGATATATAGAAACTTCCACCGAACAAATCTACAAATGTTAGACCATTCGGTAGTTTCTTAAGTTCTCTCAATAGAATATCTTTACATCTACTCTTATTTCCAAAGAACGGTAACGGTGGTTTTGTAAAATTCATTTATATATAATAATAAAAATGTTTTTTTCCTGAAAAGTGACAGAAAAGTGACAAAACATGTACGAAGAAGTCTTGAAAATTCAAGAGGGTAGAAAAGAGGTTAGAAAAGAGGTTATATCTAACCTTCTACCCTAAACATTATTTTTGTCTGATTTTACGAAGAAGTCTTGACAAAACATGAAAACATATATAATTTGTGAAAAGCTCCTGGAAGACCCGTATATAAGAACTTCATTTATACTAAACATCTTCGGGGCTAGAGGGCACGAAGTGCCTGGAAGCCCCACTACCTTTTTTTTTTTTTTTTTTTTTTTTTTTTGATATTGATTATATAAATAGCACTGTTAACATATTTTGGATGAGTAAAAAATACCTTGTTTTGTATGCATTTAGTACACCTTTATTTTTGATTAAAACTATAAAATTTTTATTCCTTATATAATAAATAGTATATGTTACATAAACATGAAATTCAATAGCATTCAATTTTGGATTTTTTAGATTTGGTAAATTTTAGAAGAAATAAAATCAGCAATCAAAATAAAGAAACTTTTTTTGTATCTTCTATGATTACCTTTTGGTACTAAATTTTGCATTAATAAGTAAATTATCTGTATTATTCTGTGAGCACAAGCCCTCAGTTATGCTGGTAGTGAATGATGAATCGTCATTTTGCGAAGAGAACGCGATTATTAAGGTAATTTTGAGAATTGTCTTGAATTATTTAAAATTAAAGTTAATTGAATAGGTAGGATAACTAGCCTTTGCTAAATTTGTATAATTTGACCTTATTCTAGTTGGATCTGAGAATATTTTGCTGAAATAATAAATTATATCGCCGATTTATGAAAATTTCTCTGATGGGACCGACTCGCTGAAACGTATTAGTGTTAATGGTAACTTGTCTGAATTTTCAAATTTTTTTCGAAATCCAAAAAATCACAAACAAAAGCATCAAAATTAGATTTGCATTTAAGGTTTTCATTTTTTTTTGGAAAATAAAAATATTTTTTCCCCAATAAAGTTTATTTTTACTTTTGAGAGGAATAGAAACGTTATTTTGGAATTTTGAAACGACAAAAATGTTCCATTTTTAATGTAGATTCTAAAATGGGGTCAAATTTTTGATTGAACCGTTATCCATTGAAAAACCTCGATTTTAAAATGTTATTCCAAAATATTCATCTAATGATATAGTATATATTTATTAATTATTACTTTTTATTCAATTTTCACTTTTGGCGGGATTTCATTTTTTTTTTGTTGTATGGGCCATATTGTTCACCCAAAACGGAAAACAAAGGCAATGCATAACATTTTACTCCACGAACGTCGTCGACTCTCAGCGCGACAGATGCTTGGTGCTTGCATAATGACCGGAATGCCATATACAAAAGGTGCTCACTTTCTTTCTCTTTGTGGAACTAAGCCCCCTGTGAAGAGTGGTGTCATGAGACAACAGAGATTTTGTGACGATAAGATTAGAAGACTTAAAAGTATTTCCCTAATGCTGTCGAGAAAGTCCTTCAGTGGTTACTTATCCATTGATGCAAGATGGACGCACAGGCGAAACTCGCCAAGTTGTACAGTAACTGCGCTCGATGCTGTCACAAAAAGAGTTCTTGCATGCGTGAACATCAACCATATTGGTGGAAACAGAGTTAGTATGACTAAGTCGTGTACGAAGGCACTGCATTCCTCAGTACGCAATACTTGTGAATTTGACACTTTACAAAACCGTTAACGTATATTTTACAACACAAACACAAACACCAACTTAACCTTAAATATTTATAAAGCCGCCAACCACTTCACCTTACTACTGTAAAAATAAACGTTCTCACTTACAAAAGTATTGCAACTCTTCCCATTGCTGTGCTTCACACAATAGTTCATATTCTTCAGTATCGCTGCTGTCGCTCCAATCGTCAGAGTCAAAGTCACTGTCAAAATAAATGTTAGTAAGTTTTGACAAAGCTAATGAAACACGTTTACCGTTTGTATCGTATGCTTGTATAAACTTTCCATTCTTCATTCCTTCATAAACGCTCAAACTAACTTTACCCTTTCTCCCTCGTATCTGATAGAATGTATTTTCACGAGGAACGAAGAACAAATTCTTGAACTCATGACCGTTGTAGTTTGTTATCTCAATAGTTTTCGTCATTTATATAAAATAAACTAAAAATAATTAAAAATAAACTTAAAAAAATGATATCACCACTCCCACACGTATGAAAACATAGCCAAAAATAAATTTAGGTGAAGTGGTGAGATCTCACCTCTTTTTTCACCTCTTTTTTCACCCTGTTGAACTCATTGCTTTATAACTCTCTTCCTTGGTTTCTTTTTAGTTGCTTTCTTCACGTCTGTCTCCAACTTGACTGTCTTTCTTCTTCGGCCGTAATGATACCAGTTACTTCCACCAGTCAATGGGTCAAATGGTCTTTCGTAAGGGTTTCCATACATTCCATAGGGACCATACGGAAGAACTACTGG